CCGAAGCCTACTCTTTTCGATTTTAAACCACCAAGGGTTCTTAACGTGCGCAACTTGCACACGGGCCCTCCGAGATTTTTCGCCCTTGTCCGAGAAGGCTAGGTGTAGATCTTTCCTACCAGAAGATCGGGGATGTGGCTGAAAGACAGCAGTAAGAAGAAGCGAAGGAGTAAGAGAAGAAAGGCTGCAGAAAGAATCAGGAGCCCAGAGGAAGGTGCAAAGGAGGTGAGGGGGGTGGGGGCAGAAAGAGGAGACGAAAGCAGACGAAAGAATATTGCTAGAGAGCAGGAAATGAGGTGAAAGGAGACACATTTAGAGAAGAAAATTTTTCGGTCGCTACCCGGATTCGAACCCGGGACCTTTGAATGAGAGGCCAACACCTTAACCTCTAGACCACGAGAGCCCCCTGCATGCACAGTGATGAGCTAAGCAAAAGCATACACCCTCGAATTCATACGTATGTACCCACATGTATGAGTACGCGCTAGAGAGAGAGATAGAGAGAGAGAGAGGGGGGGAGGGAGGGAGAGAGAGAGAGAGACAGACACACACACACGCAGAGACAGAGAGAGAGAGAGTGAGAGAAACAGAGAGAGAGAGTGAGAGAGAGAGAGTGAGAGAGAAAGAGAGAGAGACTATTCGTTGCTTATTCTCACAATTCACTGTTTCCAATGTTTCTCTACAGATGTGACCACTCCTCTGACGAGTTACTCACGAACAAAAGAAGATACGAACTCAACTCCCACGCAGACAAGAGGCAGGCAGAAGAATGAATATAAAAGTCAACTTAACATCTTTCCGCCCAATTGTTTGAGAAGGACAGTTCGACCCTGCCGAAGGTATCACGTGATCGAGGACCAAACAACCCTGCTTGCCAACCACATCGCTCTGCAGATGCATTGCGAGAAAGGCTTGAAATGGACTGCAATACCTGACTTTGCTGGGAGCTAAATCAATAAAGTTTCACAACCTGTAATGCCATGTGGTCCTTATGAGACATATGTGATATTTTGGTGCAAAGGGCGCAACATCTCAAACCCAGCTCACTGGCGTGTTCTGGGGTCGTACCTGACAAAACTTTCTCTGAGTTGAGAGGGGTGT